AGAACCCGCGTAATGGATTTAAATTAGATAATTTAGATTTAGAAAGGACATGGGAAAGTTTGGTTTGGAAATGGGGAGTAGATGAGGGGAACAGTCTCCCTTTTTTGGGTTATTGGGCAGGACTTTGGGTATTCAAATTTGGGTTTGGGATAAAACTGAGTGGGAGGGGTTGGATTTAGTGGGACTTGCAACAGAGCTTATTTTTTTGGGTAGCATTGAAAGGGGTAGGTCAAGTTTGTTAGGGGGATGAATTGAAAAAGGACCTGCCTAGTAGGGCCAACGGGCCTGCTGCAGTTTTTCCTCCTTTTTATGTTCTTAGTTTTTATTTTCTTAAAGGAACCCCAGAATGATTTAAAATTAGAAAGTTTAGATTTAGAAAGGACATAAAAAATTTTGGGTTTTGGAAATAGGGTAGTAGATGAGTGGAACAGTCTACTAGTTGGGTTATTGGGTGGGGACTTTGGGGTATTTTTCAAATTTAGGTTGGATAAATACATGATGGGAGGGTTTTGGTTTTGAGGGGGACTTGCACTCAGAGCTTATTTTTTGGGGTAGCATTGAAAATTTGGGGTAGGTCAAATGTCAAATAAATTTGTAAAGGACCTCCCTAGTATGGGCCAACACCTGTGCAGTGTTCCTCCTTTCTTATTTCTTATGTTCTTTTTTTTCTAAGAAATTAAGATCCCAAAAGTTGCAGGTCTGACGATTTGTAATGAAGGTTCAAGAACCGACTTGTTGATAAATTAGCACATATGCAACCAAATTTTATCAACAAGTCGGTTCTCTAAACCCATTCATCTAAAATCTGTCAGAACTGCAACTTTTTGGGGATCTAATACTTAGGAATTCTTCGTTGCCTAATTTTTGGGCACGACCTACTTCCACATTGAACAAATTGACACGACCTATACGCGCACCTCTCCTCCATACTTTTTTTAAGCTGCTGTTGCCTATGTGTCTAATTTATCAACAATCGGTTTTCTGAACCATTCAACTACAAAACTGTCAACACTGCAATTCTTGGGATCTTAAACTAGAACTAAGACATAAGAAAGGAGGAACACTGCAGCAGGCCCCGTTGGCCCCCTACTAGGGAGGGCCCTTTCCATTTAATGCAATCTGTCTGACACTGCAAAAACAAGGGTATCTTGGGGAAGCCTCAATCAACTTTCGACAACCTCTACTAGGGGACCCGGATTTGAGAGGGACATTTTCCCCCCAACATTAGTTCTTACCTTCCTATGACCTCTCTCACCCCTTGGCGCTATATAACGCCGATCCGTCACTTCATCTTATATTGTTTTACCGGAACAATCTCTTCTCCAGATGAGGGCTGACCACCTCAAAACTTTAAGGGTGATGGACTGATTACATCGTCTTCAAGAATCTTCTGCTTCTATCAACTTTTCTGTACTCGACTGAAGAAGCCTACTGTGTAGGCGAAACGTTTCGAAATAAAGATACCTAACTGTTGCATATGTGTCTTACCTAACAACCTGTCGGTATTTTATACCATTTTAATGTTCAATGGCGGGTAGGCGTGGAGTGCACTGATCCTCCATATCCCAAGGAGCTGAGAGAACCCTGTGATCCTGAGCCAGCACATTTGCCTGTCAAACGCACGGTATCAAATGTGCGACGCATGTTGCTGCTGCCACTTTTTCCCAATTCTTCACCCAGAGAGTTGAGGGAGTGAAGTTCACTGGCGATGGAATCATTCCCAGAGTTGAAGGGAGAACTGAAAAGACTGCTGCCGAGATGGTGACCACGATTTCCTGGCAAGTTCTTCTTCTGAACCCGTCTCAGCTGATCTTGTGTATCGTGTAATAGGTCTAACACCTCTGCATACTTTTCCTTTAGTTCAGCCAACTCCATTGTTAGCTCTTGTTGGCAATCTCTGGCCACTCCCACCATGTTGGCCAGTTCATCATTCTCCATAGCTAACCGTTTGCTATGGGACAGAAGGTCAACCACCTGGGCAAGGAGCTGCGTGATTTCTTCTTGCTGCCGTAGGGAGTCCTCCACTTTCTTTGCAAGTTCTTCACTAAGCTGGCCGATTTGTAAATTTGCATCGCTAATCTGTTTAATAACATCTGAGACCAGCTCCTTCTCTTTATCCTCACACTCACTAGTGTCATTGGCCAGCTGGGAGGCCTCCTGACGTAGGCTTCTATCTCATCTTCAAGTTTTTCACTCGATGTTGTAAGATGTCAACATTGATCAGACGAAGGCCAGTTGGAGTTGTTTCACAACTGCTTGTATCATCCACGTCATTGGTGTATATCTGCAGCAGGTCGGTTTTCATCTGCAGATCATGCTTAAGTTGAGTAATTTTGTCACTAGCTGAAGACAACTCTGCATCAAGCAGTGCATTACGTTCTTCTAGGGTTTTGTTGCGTTCAAGAAGTTGCTGTCCGATCTTGGCAGCAAGCTCCAAGTCTTTTTCTTTCTCCTGGAGAAGTCTGGTCACAGCATCAATATCATTGTAGGTCTTGGTCATCTGGCTCACACGGTTCCCGCGTAACACGAAGTAGGCCAGGGCTCCCTCTGCCTGCTCAGGGCTCAGAGCCTCCGCTTCCTCCTCCTTCAGCGCAGGGAAGCTCACACCCCAGTCAGCGTTGTCGTAACCAGAAAATTCAGTAACAGTGTCAGCTCGTAGGATATAACGAGGGATCTGCTCTTGTACCAGACTTATGAGTTCCACTTCAGCCACATTGTCCCCAGTACACACATCTGTGAGGGTGCCAGCGTCTTTGTATTTCGGCATCAAGGCTGCCGCATGCCCCGATGGAAGCTGCTTGGAGGTGGGAGAGGTCTTCTGGCGGAGGTGGCTGCTGGCGGAGGCGTGGTTTTTGTCTTCCAATAAGCCTTCCACGCGGTAGAGGCCCGCTTCGAAACTTCCTAGACTCCTGCGACTCCTGGCTCGCTGCAGGCAGTAGCGGATTCGGTCCTTGATTTCGTCAGTGTCTCCAGCAGTGGATTGTTTCAGGGGGGAGTGCGGGGAGAGAGGGGTGCGACGTTTGTCATTCGGCGAGGTTGGAGATCGATTAGTATCGCTGCCGTTCCAAGCAGCTTCCATCGGGGCATGCGGCAGCCTTGATGCCGAAATACAAAGACGCTGGCACCCTCACAGATGTGTGTACTGGGGACAATGTGGCCGAAGTGGAACTCATAAGTCTGGTACAAGAGCAGATCCCTCGTTATATCCTACGAGCTGACATTGTTACTGAATTTTCTGGTTACGACAACGCTGACTGGGGTGTGAGCTTCCCTGCGCTGAAGGAGGAGGAAGCGGAGGCTCTGAGCCCTGAGCAGGCAGAGGGAGCCCTGGCCTACTTCGTGTTATGCGGGAACCGTGTGAGCCAGATGACCAAGACCTACAATGATATTGATGCTGTGACCAGACTTCTCCAGGAGAAAGAAAAAGACTTGGAGCTTGCTGCCAAGATCGGACAGCAACTTCTTGAACGCAACAAAACCCTAGAGGAACGTAATGCACTGCTTGATGCAGAGTTGTCTTCAGCTAGTGACAAAATTTCTCAACTTAAGCATGATCTGCAGATGAAAACCGACCTGCTGCAGATATACACCAATGGCGTGGATGATACAAGCAGTTGTGAAACAACTCCAACTGGCCTTCGTCTGATCAATGTTGACATCTTACAACATCGAGTGAAAAACTTGGAAGATGAGAATAGAAGCCTACGTCAGGAGGCCTCCCAGCTGGCCAATGACACTAGTGAGTGTGAGGATAAAGAGAAGGAGCTGGTCTCAGATGTTATTAAACAGATTAGCGATGCAAATTTACAAATCGGCCAGCTTAGTGAAGAACTTGCAAAGAAAGTGGAGGACTCCCTACGGCAGCAAGAAGAAATCACGCAGCTCCTTGCCCAGGTGGTTGACCTTCAGTCCCGTAGCAAACGGTTAGCTATGGAGAATGATGAACTGGCCAACATGGTGGGAGTGGCCAGAGATTGCCAACAAGAGCTAACAATGGAGTTGGCTGAACTAAAGGAAAAGTATGCAGAGGTGTTAGACCTATTACACGATACACAAGATCAGCTGAGACGGGTTCAGAAGAAGAACTTGCCAGGAAATCGTGGTCACCATCTCGGCAGCAGTCTTTTCAGTTCTCCCTTCAACTCTGGGAATGATTCCATCGCCAGTGAACTTCACTCCCTCAACTCTCGGGTAAAATGGAAAAGTGGCAGCAGCAACATGCGTCGCACATTTGATACCGTGCGTTTGACAGGCAAATGTGCTGGCTCAGGATCACAGGGTTCTCTCAGCTCCTTGGGATATGGAGGATCAGTGCACTCCACGCCTACCCGCCATCCTTATACCCCGTCACATATGGCAACTCCTACAAACATGGCATCCAGTGGGGGCACCTATGCTATGTCTTATATGGGTTCCCAAGGCTCATCTGTCTATTCTGGGGGATCAGGACATCCATCTTTGGATTCTGGTGCAGATTCTGATGCTTCTATGCACACAGATTCAGAGGATAACTACCCAGGAAGTCACTTAGGTGTCCCAGGCTGGCCAGGAACACCAGACCTGGACTCGTGCCTGCGTCGGCTTGGTCCAGGAAATCGTTCTGGAACACCATCGCATTTCTTACCTTATGAATGCCGCACACCAGATTCTATCATGTCTACTGAATATTTGCCTCATACAGGAAGCGGCAAGTCAGGCTTAAGCACTTATGGTGGCATGAATGCTAGTGACTGTCTTCAATAAAGATTCCCATGTGTTGCATAAGTGTCTCAATTCTTCATCAATAACCCAACTAGGCAGACTGTTCCGCTCATCAACTACCCTATTTCCAAACCAATACTTTCCTATGTCCTTTCTAAATCTAAACTTATCTAATTTAAATCCATTACTGCGGGTTCTCTCTTGGAGAGATATCCTCAAGACCTTGTTAATATGTTAGGTAAGACACATATGCAACAGTTAGGTATCTTTATTTCGAAACGTTAAGCCTACACAGTAGGCTTCTTCAGTCGAGTACAGAAAAGTTGATAGAAAG